TTATAGAGGAAGAGGAAGAAAGTGTTGCAAACACTGAAGCACAGATTCCGGTATCTATGGCTCACGGGACTGTTTCATCCCAATGGCACCGTTGTTGTTTGTATCAGTGCTATGTGTGAAAACCACTTACAACTCTCAAAATAATTCCACAGTTTTTTTTTTTCTCTTACACGACTCATCAATACATTTACTCACTCTCCGAGTTCCGTTTCTGTTACAGTGATAACTCACTCTGACCAAAAGCGACTTGGGGGAGGGAAGGGTTGGTTCGTCTCATCCTTCCAGGTCACAGTCCATCCTTGAAAGGATGTCAGCCCAGAAGCTCAAGCAAGAACTTGATGCAGAAAGCATGGAGGAAAGCTGCTTGCTGGTTCTCTCGCTCTTAGCTAGGAACAACCCGGGACCATCTGACCAAGGAATCGTGCTGCTCACAATGGGCTGGGTATAAGGCCGTAGCAGACAGGAGCTCATTGCGGTGTGGAGATGCAGTCTCAACCCGTCAGTCTGAGGATGCAGACTGAGGACAGGATCCCTATTTGGGTCCGAGGTTTCTGTAGAGATAAAAGGTCTCTCTAGTGGCTGACTGCACTGCTTCTCTGATCTCTCAGCTTTCACCCCCTAATATCTGACTCTGGGTTTTTATTAAGAACAATTAGAATTCGTGCTACAGCTGGTCCCCTCTGCAATCCCACACAGACGAGCCCACATTCCAACCTGATAGAGATAATTACTCAATTGAGACCCCTTTGTTGAGGGGATTCTCAGCTGTGTCAAGTTGGCAGTTACTGCTAATTTGGACACCCTCTGAATGCACAAAACCAAATATTTCCTAGTGATTTTCCTTGCGGTTTTCACGGGGGGAACTTGAGTACAATTTATTATGATGGTGCAAAGGAATGTTTAATAACTTTCATTTGTATACTTTTATTGAAGTAAAATATCAGTGACAAAAGATTTAACATTTTAGTCTTTTTAGGGCATGTTTTATTGTTACCAAGTACATTCGCATTGTTCCAACACCATGCCTATTCGTCTCCAGAACTCTATTCTTTATCTATTAAACAATGATCCCTCTTCCTTCCTCCCCTTAGCCTCTGGCAACCATTTTTTTTTTCTTTTTCCTGTTTCTGTAGGTGTGACTTTCCTTGGAACTTCAAGTAAGTAGTCTTATATGGTTTGTCCTGTTCTGTGTGGCATATTTAAAGAGTGTGACCTCTTCAATGCTTGTTTATATTACAATATGTAATGGAACTTCGCTTTCTTTTAGGGATGGCTAATATCCTACTATCTGTATAGACAACATTTATTTTTAACACATATCCATCAATGACTGCTTAAATTGTTCCCCCTCTTTGGCCGTTGTGAATAATCATACTCTAAACATTGCTATTCCAGTACCCGTGCTATTATTTTTTATGCTGAAGAATTTACCAAGGCAAACACCATCTGAGAACCAGCACACGTGGTTCTGGCTTCCACTCCGGCCTCCAGGCCTGTGAAGGGAATAGCACTCTGAGATTCTGCGTGACCATTGCTTATAGAGGAAGTCTATGGGACTCTCTTTGGTCAGCATTACTCCGAGGATCTCCCACCACTCTTGTCATGGTCCTGGCAGAAGGAGGTCATGAAGGAAGTCTCCTGAAACCTCCCATCTAAGGTCATGCTGAGCTGTATCAGGTTCCAAATAAAGCTACCTTCAAAACTAGGGAGGTTCATTGTGGAGTCTCCAGCTATTCAATGAGGGTAGCAGAGCCTTGTTCTGTGGGCATCCATTGGGAATGGCATGAGAGGCACCACACTAAGAATCTGAGGTTGCCTGGAATTTGGAGCTGATAAGATGTCTTAGAAACAACTAGAACTGAGTGGCCTCCAAGAATGAGTACCACTTTAATTACATGTGCACTCTCTGGCGAACTACTCAAAGGACTTGGTATAATTAGCAGTCACAACACCAACCAAAATTTACAAGTAGTGCTGCAATCACTAGTCACATGTAGGTGCTATTTTTAAAGCACTCTAAAGACCTCACTGCATGATAACACTTGGAGATCTTTGCTGCAGACTGTCTCTGAGTGTTTGATGCAACAGGTTCGGGATTTGCTTACCACACATGCTCCCCCATTCGAGGCTCTGCTGCAACTGGTCACAAACTCAAGGCACAAAACAGGGCTCTTTCACCAGCAGAGCGCTTTGGTTAGATAATGGAGTCCCAGTCTGGGAAAGAAAAGACCAAGTCAGGATTATTTCTCTCTTCTCAGGGACCCACTTCTATCAGTGACATCTCACTGTCTGCTTTTTAACCCTGGAGAATAAATGGGCCTTAACTGAACAAATTACCTTAAAAAAAATCAAGCACAGGCATACACATGCATGGGCACACACATTGGGGAGGTGAAACAGACAGGCAGAAAAACACATACACACACAGACAGACAGACTGGCAAATACACACATACCACCCTTTATTTAGGGACATCTGTTTCAAACCTTTGCTACAAACTTCCTTCCATCTGTGTCTGTGTGTGTGTGTGTGTGTGTGTGTGTGTGTTTGCACGTGTGTGTACTTGTATATACATGTGTGATTAACAAAATACAGTACTGTGATGTATATCCATTCTTAAACCACCCTTTATTTATTCATTTTCTCAAACATCTTTTCTCATTTTATATACCAATCCCAGTCCCCTCTCTCTCCCTTCCTTCTGCTTCTCCCCACCTTCCACCCACCCCACTGCAATCCACTCCTCAGAGAGGGTAAGGCTTCCCATGGGGAGTCAACATAGTCTGGCACATTGCTTTGAGGTAGGAGCAAGGCCCTCCCCCCTCTATCTAGGTTGAGCTAGATACCCCCCCAAAGAAAATGGGCTTCATAAAGCCAGTTCAAGCACTAGGGATAAACCCTGGTCCCACTGCCAGTGGCCCTACAGACTGTCCCAGTCACACAACTGTTCCCCACATTCAGAGGGCCCAGGCTGGGCTAAGCAATAAACCATTTTTTAAAATCTAAAATAGCATCAATAGCCCCCTTTCTTAGTTAGAATTTCTATTGCTGTGAAAAAAAAAAAAAAAAACATGAGCATGGCAACTCTTGTAAAGGAAAAACATTTAATTGGGGTAGCTTTCATTGTCAGAAGATGTGTTCATTATCACCATGGCATGACAAGGTGTCATCCAGGCAGACATGGTGCTGGGGGGTGGGGCTGAGATTCTTATACCTTGACTCACAGGCAACAGGGAGTGGCCTGTCTCACTGGGTGCGTTTTGAGCATGCAGGAGACCTCAAAGCCTGCCTCCACAGTAACACACTTCCTTCAGCAAGGCCACACTTCCTCCAACAAAGTCACACATCCCAATAGCGCCACTCCCTATGAGCTAATGGAGGCCATTTTCTTTCAAACCACCACACCTCCTATATCAATACAGGTATCAAAATCTATTCTCTCTTTTCAGTTTGTAAAATAAATCCAAGTCTTTTTCTAATTTCTGTTTAAATTTTTTAAAACTATATAAGCAAACCCAAGTCTTGTTCGTAGGTAGCTTAGAAGACATGATGAGGCCTCTCTTCCAGAAATAAGTGTTATCAGTTACTTGAGATAGATATGAGATTTATTTTAATTTTATTTTTCCAGCCTTGTTGGGACACATCACAAAAAGTGACTTCAGCGCTTACATATATAAAAGGTGTACAACTTGATGCTTTGACTTGCATGCTGAGCATATACATCTCCCCCATCGTTATATTTTGTGTGTGTGGAAAGCATTTCTGAGATTTTTGTTTCACTGTGTTTTAGTGACTTAAACGCAGATTACCATGTGGAAATCCCTCTGTTACTCCGAAGAAAGCTGAACTACTAACCTTGCGTCACAAATGAGGATTTGTGTCCTGAGTTCAGGATGAGGGGCCAAGGATCTGGGAAACATTAGACCATCTGCCCTGATTTGTCTACCAGCCCTGCGAGTGAGCATCACCGAGCAAAAGAAGTAAAAACAGGAAATGGCACAGACTTCGTGGGCAAAATCAATGTGCTGCCACATGCCCTCTTACTGTAGGGTTTCTTTAGAGATGTCTGTCAATACAGCCTTTCCTTTCATCTCGCTGCATCTCAGTGATTTGAAGACAGGGTTTTCACATCTTAATGGATCCGAAATTGGGATGTGTCTTATGACTGATTGTTAGCGACCTGACAGGAGTTCTGACATCACAAAACAAACTTGTGACTGTGGTCACATTTTGCAGGACAGTGAACAGAGAAGAAAGGCTTTGAATAAGGTAGATTAGTTCTTTAGGCATGTGTTAGGATGGATTTCTGGATACTTTTCATAGGAGGGAAATACATGGGGTAAGAACAGGAACTGGCATAAGAGCCATGGAGAAGTAATAGAAAGGAAGAAGTGAGATGAATATCTTGCATATCACCATAAAACCTTCATCCGGCGATAGATGGAGATAGAACAGAGACCCACACTGGAGCACTGGACTGAGCTCCCAAGGTCCAAATGAGGAGCAGAAGGAAGGAGAACGTGAGCAAGGAAGTCAGGACCACGAGGGGTGCGTTCACCCACTGAGACGGTGGGACTGATCTAATGGGAGCTCACCAAGGCCAGCTGGACTGGGAGTGATGGAGCATGTGATCAAACTGGATACTCTGAATGTGGCTGGCCATGAAGGCTGACTGAGAAGCCAAGGACAATGGCACTGGGTTTTGATTCTACCGCATGGACTGACTTTGTGGGTGCCTGGTTTGTTTGGATGCTCACCTTTATAGACCTGGATGGAGGGGGAAGGACGACTTCCCACGGGGCAGGGAACCCTGACTGCTCTTAGGACTAGAGAGGGAGGGGGAGAGGGGGAAGGAAAAGGGAGGTGGGGAGGAGGTGGAAAATTTTAATTAATTAATTATTATATAAAAGAAAGGAAGAAGTGAACAATGGGTGTTGGAGTAAATATAGGCTTAAACACCATCAAAGCTGCAGAAAATGATAATTCATGAAGATAAGAGATATTATCTGGCAGGAGAGAGGTCATGATCACGGAAGTACCTCTCTAGGAGTGAAGCTTATTCCTTGCTCTCCAGATGTGCTCACCCTTGATTTCTCCAGGTATGCGGAGCTCAACTACACATTCTGTGGTCGTGGGAAACAACAGTCACCCTCCCCGCTATGCGCAGACGGAGAAGGAGAGGGAGAGCAAGGAAGAGGAATGTTGAGGAGGATATGGAAAGAATGAATGAGAGCTAATAGAGTAGGGGCGAGAGGGGAAGCACACGGCTGTAGGTAAGAGAAATAATAGAAAAAACGCACAGTAGAATAAATAAGCAATGTGAAATCAAAAGATGACAATTAAATACCAGTGCAGGAGTGGAGGTCTTTTTTTTTAAAAAAAGTCAATGTGAAATGGAAGTAAAGAAAAATACATTATCGGTCAATGTCCCTTCCCTGCTTACAGCACCAAGAGCTGTCTCTCTCCTCTAAGTCCCAAGCAGGTTCAAAGAACCACAATTTGAGCTGCATTCTCAAAACACTTCCCAGATGTTGCCATAGCTGAAGAGGAGCTGGATCTTGTTACTGAATTGTCATTTATCAACCTCTGAAAAAAAAGCAAGGGTCTTTTAGGTGGCTTGGCTCTTTAAATTAGGTACTAGCTTTACTCTTCATCTTTTCCCCTATTAACCCCCTAGCCTTTGTGTTGTTATTAGTAACCAAAACAGCTTCCTTACACGAGTAGATTTATTTAACTGAGTCCCTGCCAAAGCACGTCTCTCTAGAGAGCTCTACTATACCATTCAAATCAAGTGCATGGCAATCACCTTAGGCACTAAAAGAAATGTTTACACACTCAACAAATGACTTATTTGGTGTTGGTGGGACTCAGGCACCAGTAATTATAAAACCCCCCCCCCCCCCCGCCGAGGTGATGGCTGTGGAATAAACACACTTCAAATTCGTATGTTTAAGGTTTAATGCCATAACCCCAACACACTCTGTGATGTCGGGAAGCTTGGGCTTTAGGGGGTAACTAAGCCATCAGGGAAAAGTCCTTATGAATAGCTTTATTATATATTAGAGGGAAGCCCTCTTTATCATGTGGGGACACACTAACAATATGACCATCTGCAAACTTGCAGAGAAGACATGAGGAACCAGAATGCTGAACAATTTGACCTTAGTCTTTCCTGCTGTTTAAACCACCAAGTCTGCTATGGTTTTGTTACAGTGACTTTACCTAAGAAATTTCAATGCACACTTGTGACTGAGAAATCTGTGACCTGTGAGAGAGTCAAAAGACATTGTTCAAGAGGTCGAGCATGCAAACGGTATGACCAAAGAGCATTATTTTCTAAGTATCAGAATCCTTGGTTGAAAAGTAACTCTAATACTGAGCCTGCCTCAGTGAGTCACTGGGAGGGATAAATGGGATTAAGTGATGCTCAGGAAAAGTCTTCAACAGGATACTACAGAATTTTAGCTTATACTAACTTGTCTTTTGGAAATGTTAGCTATTGGTTCAGAAGTAAGTAACTTTTCTTATAAACAATAGTAGCACAAATAACACTAAAACTAAAACATTTAAAAGTACAACTGCTATATGACCCAGAAATCCTATTGCTTGGCATAAATACAAAGGAAATGAAATCAGTATTTCAGAGAGACATCTGCTCAGCCATGTTTTCTGCAGCACTATTTATGATGGTTGCAATATGGAGCCAGCTACATGTTTAGCAATAAATGAATGGACAAAGAAAATGTGGCACGTATGTACACCAGAATGCATTCGACTCCTAAGAGGAAGAAATCCTGTTATTATTTGCTCCATTATAGATGAACCCAACGAGTATTATGCGAAATGGAATGATCCAGGCACAGAGAGACTAACATTCTCCATGGTCACATGCATTTGTGAACTCTAAAGCCATTGTCAAAGTAGACTATGGGTAACGTGAGGTGGGCAAGGATAAGGCGAAAAGTGGGTGGAAGGGATAGACGAATGAGTTAGAAAGAAAAAATAAATTCTAGTATTTTCTACCTGGTAGACTGACTATTAAAAACAACAACAACAGACTATATATTTCAAAATATCTAGAAGAAAATATTTTGGATGATCTCATTATAAGGAAATATTAAAAGTTTCGGCAGTTGTTGGGTATGTAAATACCATTGGCTATTACCTAACATATATCCATATGGATACTTGACACTGTGTGCCACAAACAAGCACAACAATTATGTTTTCATCACAAAAATATTTTATAAGTAGTGGAAACTCTAAGAAGTTTGACCATCATAAGCAACACATTCCTGAGTTCAAGCCTCCCCCAGAGCTACCCACTCACTGACACAGCACATGTCTGAACTGTTCGAGATGCTTTGGTCAAGCAATTGGCTGTATCTTTGTAACATGCTCAAAAATAGCAATCAAATTATTCTTTAGATCCTTGAGTTCCACAAACACCTCTACTTCTGTGTGGAAATAAAGAAATCAATGAAAAGGAAAATGGTTTCCTCTAGAATCATGCTCCATGTACATTGTAATCTGTTCTTCTGAGATGTAGGAAACCATCTAATTCCGTATTAGTCAAAATCTGGCCCAGGAGTGCCACCCCAGACCAGCTGGAATGAAATACGCCTTTCAGCAAAATTCCTCAGTGATGTCCTCAAGAGTGAGAATCTATCTACCTTACGTCTCCTTCGTAAGGAAGTCATTTTGATCATTGCATGTTTAAACCCTGGGACTGGGGCTGTATGGTCTGCTTAGCAGGCAATTTAGTCTGTTTTGACTGCAGTGAGATTCTTATGACAAAGACTTTTGGTGGTGATCCTGAAAGTCCCATTCCTGGCCCCGTGCTTTGATAAGGAAGCTGGAGCCTGGTTGCTGGAGCTCCCTCCCTAAAGAAGGGTGTCCAGACAATGGATGAACACACCCTGCTTCAAAGACTGCAAAGCTTTCATTCCCACTTCAATCATAAACTCCATAGCATATCTATTCTGGTCGGTGGGTCTTTTTATCCTGCCCGGCAAGGATGCATGAGGGTAGCCCGGTGGAAAGTCATCAAAGCGGGTGCAATGGTTGTTTATTCCCCAGACTTCTCTCTTCTGCAGGGTAGCCTTCTGTTCCAGATCACCATCAGGAGGACAGACATATAAGGACATAATCTTTAGTTCCCCAACCAAGAAAGTAGGAGAGGCAGAGCTTTGGAGTTGGTGTTACTTCCAGTAAGAAAACCCAGGAGGGTGAGATGACTTCACAGGTCCAAGTATTTCCTGCATAAAGCTGCCAACCTGACTTCAATCCTTTGAGCTCACAGTGCAAGGATAAAAATGGCCCCAAAAGTTGTCCTCTGACCTCCATATATACATATGCATGCATACACACACGATAATAATAACTATCGTTAATAATAAAATTTTCAATATAATAAAGCATATATTCTAGGTATTGACTTAGAGACATAGTTTCTTTGTGTGTAATGATAATAACACAGTTACCAGGGAGAATATGAAGTAAGGAACGCTGATCTACAAAGGACAGTTGCTCTCCGAACTAACAGTCTACGACTGGATTCACAGTGTCATTCTCAAATGTCACATCAGACCATGGTAATCTTGCTAACCAAGATTTTTTTTTATTAGATGTTATTTGTTTGTTCGGGGATGGGAATTAAGAGAGTCATTTCTTTATCCAACCACAAGAATCCTTGAGATTGAACTCAGGTCACTGGGTTTGACTGTAAGTGTCTTTACCTCTACTGAGTCATCTTGTTGGCCCATTTATCTAAGTTTTAATGAAGTAAAGTTCCTGTAAAGATATGTAACATGTATCCATTTTCAGTGCACGCTGTGTTGAGATTTAGAAAATTCATGCACTGATAGCGTATTTCTTTCACCTCCAAATGTTCCAATCCCCACTTCTATAATCATCATAGGCAACCATGGCTGTGCCTCTATAGCCTTGCCTTTTGTAGAAATTAGATTTTCGTGAGGTCAGGAAACACATCGTCATGTAAGTCTGATGACTTTCACTTGAGTGCAATGTTTTAACCATCTGCTGCATAGATCTAAAAATCGTTTACCTTCTCATTGTGGAGTGGCGTTTCATTGTACGCATCTTGACCATTCAACAACCAGGGAGGTGTTTGGATGGCTCTGGCTCCAAGCTGCTACCGTTTGTGCATTTGTCTTTAGCCCCTTCTGTTGCTCCTAAGACGTCAAATAAAAAGCTAGACACAGAAAGGCAGGATCTGACCATAACAAAGGTTATGGGTGGAAAGCCAAGACGTCATCACGTGCAGTCTGAACGACCTTTCCCCTAATCTTGTGAAGAAGACAAGGGCGCTCATCTTAGCGTCTGCGCACAGCACAGCGTAGAGCCGTTCTCGGCCTTCCTAACACTGCCTAATACAGTTCTTTTAACATGGTTCCTTTCAGACAGCAGCTCCTCATGTTGTGGAGACCCCAGCATAAAATTATTTTGTTGCTACTTCATAACTGTAGTTTCGATACTGTAATGAATCTTAATGTAAATGTCTGAAAAGCAACCTCTGTAAAAAAGTCTTTCAACCCCCAAGGGGTTGTGACCCACAGGCTGAGAACCACTATGCTAGACATATTTGCCAGGTCACTTACGAAGACAAAAAAAATTAAAGGTACCCAGACCAGAAGAGGTGTTTGTACCTATGTTCACAAAAAATTATGTTAATATGTATAAAATTCCAGATTCACTATATGAGAAATATTAATAAATGAATTCAATAAAATGTCATGATACACAACCAATACCAAAGTGAGTTATGTTTCCATATGCTAATAAAATATTTAAGAAAGAATAACTTTCAATCACATTTATAATAGCATATTTTAAAAATCAGAGCAAGATATTGAAAATTTCATCCACTGCAATCTGTTGCATTTTGATAGTATGCTGTTATAGGGGTTTTCTAGGTTTTTTTTTAAGGATGTGTGTGTTTCTATGTGTGGGTTTCCGCATGTGTGTGAGTTCAAACCTCTTGATGTAGGTACTGGGAACAGAGCTCGGGTCCTCTGCCATAGTAACACATGGTCTTGAGTGCGGAGCCTTCTCTGCAGACCGGCTTCTCTCTTCCTAAAGGAGACCTGTTAGTGTGTCATAAAAGTGCCTTTGCCCTCAGCATGATTAGTATAAC